TGAACTCATATTATCTTCTAATCTGTTGGCTCTACACTCACAACATGAACTGGACACAAGGCTCATACATAGTTCATGCAAATATTCTAGGATGTTCGAATAAGCAGTGTGTGTGTGTGTGTTGTTATTTTCAGGCATTTCTTTCTAACTGAAAGTAGACATGCAGTTAGCATCTTATCTATAGTTTCCAGGATGACACTTATCTCTGCAATCAATTTATGCACATTTCACCAAGAAGACAAGAAATACTACTAGTTGACTCAAAGCTGAAAACTTTGACTATGATGCATGCATAAGAGCTGGTTAATACTGATACATGGAGCTGTTAATGAAACACAGACAAATAGTCATACTGAACTTTTCCATTATAAAAGTAAAATAATACTGATGATAAGTAGAAAAATAACTTTAACTCCTGAAATCCAATCCTAACAGGCCCCAATGGAGGACCTGCCAATTCTGAAGTTCTCTGGCGAATGCCAATCAAGCAGCATTGTGCTGAGCTGTGAGCACAGGTCGTACTAGAGGATGCTGGGCCCTCATGCTGCCCTCATGGAGTCTGTTTCTGACAGTTTGGTCAGAAACATGCACACCAGAAGCTCAAAGTTCAAGGTCAAAGTGTTTTATTTGTCATATGCACAGTTAGGAAACTTGTTTCCCTGTACAATGAAATTCTTACTTTGCCATCCACATGAATGCCACAAAATACAAATGAAATATAAAGTAGATAAATAAGTAACACAAAAGGCACTAAGGCACTTTAAGCAGGAAATGTAGCAGTATAATAAGAAATATATAAGAATATAGTTGCTGGAGGTTAGTTTGTAGGGCTCTCCCAGTGCTTCTCATGTTCCTCCTGGCACAAAGGAGCAGATACTGGTCCTGCTGCTGGGTTACTGACCTTCTACGGCCCTGCCCAGCTCTCCTGGTGTAACGGCTGGTCACCTGGTATCTCCTCCATGCCCTTGAGACTGTGCTGGGAGATACAGCAAACATTCTTGTGACTGCACGTATGGATGCGCCATCTTGGAGTAACTGGACTACCTGTGCAACCTGACTGGGCTGCAGGTACCGCCTCATGTTACAAGTACTGACAAGGACACTAGCAAAACAAAACCTGAGAAGGATCAGTCAGGAAGGATGAGGAGAGAGCATGTGTCTGTGGCCACCACATGCAAAACCATTCCCTTTTTGGAGGTTGTCTTGCTTTTGCCTCTCAAATGAATCTGTTGTGAAACTGATTCACAATCACTTGTGCCTCCTAAATGGACAGATTGATATCCCTGAAGTTTAACTGACTTGGTGTTATACTGTGATGATTAAGTGTTCCCTTAAGGTTTTTTGAGCAGTTTATATTATGGTCTTGCTCACCCCATAAAATATTATATTTCCTCTGTGCTATGTTTTATGTTGTTGTCTTTGTACTTTCACAAGTACACTGAACTAACTTTGGACCGTGGGCCTGCAAGATATCTGATGAGATTTCTGATATGCCAGAAATTCACCCAATCATTCAGGAGCTAGATTGTTCATCATTCTGATTAATACTGAGCAGTACAGAGAACTATCCAGTC